AAAATAAGACAAAAAGACAAACCCCCCAAAGCTGCCCAAAAAAAAAAGAGTGGCGGGAAGATCGCAGGATAACAAAAACAATAAATACAAAACGCAACAAACGAAAAAAAACACACACACATACAAAATGACCACGGCCCCGTTCCTCTAAAGCTCTCCACTCTCCTCTCTCCTCTCCACACATCCATTCATTAATCCTTCTCCTGCTTCCCCCAACTCGCATCCCCCGCATCCCCCGCATCCCCGCATCCCGCATCCCGCCAAGCATCACTCGGCGGCCCCGCGCCAGAAACATACCACGCGCTCACCCACACAATTAGATACACGCGCCCCAAAGCAACTACAGTGCGGTACGCACACACCCAAAGGTCAAAAAAACTGCAGCTAACAATAAAAAACACAAAAAAAAAGATCCAAACGAACAGGCATGAACGCTCCTTAAGATATTCTCCATAGTCACACTTTTTTTGTGTATATATTTGCCTCACTTTAATATTATTATTCCTTCTTACGGTATTGGGATACCACGGTTGGATCTTCCGTGGTCCTTGACATTTGTGCCCCAAATACTCTTTTTGATGCTTTGGTTTGAAGATGCGAGTCCATAAAAAAAAAGAAGCCACCGCGCCCCACAGACCCATTCTTGAAGTCTCGCTGCATCCTCTCTTCTCCTGCCCCCGACAAATGGGCATGTAGATATTTATCAGATGCCTGTAGCCGCCTTTCACACTGCACGCATGCATACATGCATAGCAAGAGAGGGAGATAGTGAGAGATCGAAAAGGGTGCATTTTTTGGTCTCAAATGGAGAAAAGGAAGGGGATTAGGTACCATATTTTGCTTTTTTTATTAATTACAAAATTTGTTACTACAGTTTCTATTGGTTGCTCGACAGTATCTTGTGCGTTTTAAACGTGGGGTGTGACTCTATGCAACTTTTCCCACCGGAATCGTGGCCAAGGCACCTGCACGAACGCAAGGGAGAGGAGGTGAAACTAACGTACCCCATTTATTTTACATCGTTGTTTCTTGTCTTTTTTTCTTCTTTCGGTGCCCCCTCCGCAGTAAATTTGGAAAACATGGATTTCATCCCTCATTTTTTCTTTCCCTCCAAGCTGCTTTATTCGTCATCCTTGCTCTGTTATTGCCCTACTTCATCATTCGAAGCCTACATAATATACATATATTACTTTGGGAAAAGCAAAGGAGATGCATCCCCCTTCCTCGTGGTATATTAAGGGGGTGCACTGTGGCTTGTTTTGTCTGGTTTTGTTTTATATTTGTTTGTAGTCTAAGTTGGCACTCATCATCTGTTCATTTTTTTTCCCCCCGTTCGCTCGCTCCCTGTGCCGTCCCCGTCTTCCTCCAGTCTAGGAGTACACGGCACTTCCGTTCGTAATGGGCTGCGTTGTAAGCTCCTTCGTCACCCTCTTGTTTTCCTTCGGCGCATTCGTGCTCTCCGTGAGCTCCCTGTTCGTGTATTTCGGTGGGTACCCGGTGTCGGGGCGGTGCACCTGAAACGTCGCCGTCACGGGCGTGCCCTTACCCGAGAAGGAGGGGAAGTTGGCGAAGACCTGGTTGTCTGGGGGAAGCGCCTGGAGCACTGCCTTGACGCTGCCCCCGAGCTTGTCATCGAAGAAAAGGCTAAGGGTGTACGGCACGGCGGCCTCGTCCGAGATCACACGGGGAATAAGGAGATACGGCGAGCACTCCGGGGTGAGGGTGCAGAGCATACCCACGTCGCGACTCTGCATAAAGGTGAACTGGTTGCTGGGGTTGTCCACATCCAGGTTGGAGTTGCACTCCACCTGCATGGTGTCCAGGGAACCGCGACCGCTGCTTAGCGTCAGCATGATCGGCGGATATTCATCCTGCGCCTTTTCTGTGCCACGACGATCCTTCTGGGAGAGCATGCATCCAATGCGCATCGTCTTCTTCACGGTGAGCTGAACACAGAAGTCGGGAACACCGTGGACAAAGTTGCCTCGAATGCGGTAATCAACACCCTTTGAACGGATGAACGCCACACCGCAACCGTCGAAGTACCGCTGGACGTCACTCCAAGACATCCAGAAGGTACCAGACTCTAAGTTAGCCGGCGCACAGACCTCAGCAATGTGTGGGTGCTCCGACCACTTGGGATCATTGGCATTCCAGTCTCCCTTCCACTCCACAGCCGCTGACCATGGATTACAAATCCGCAAGAGGTAAATTTTTTCCTCTGTAAAACGGCGGACTGCCCTAACCGTATACATATAACCCATCATCAAGCCTGCCTCCTTATAGAAGTTCTCCTTCTCCTCGTTCGCGACATCTCTAACAGGCGTGATCAGCCCAATGTAGTACCCACTCTGATTGTAGCGATCCAGACGTTCAAGCAACTCGGTATCGCCTGTTTGCATATCACTTGCAAAAGATTCATCGTAGCGGGTGGTTGGATAGCCCGTGAGGTCCTGCAAGGCAAGCAGTGGATCCCCGACAACGATGTTTGCGTAGCTGCCATGCACCTTGGCATACGCCTTTTCCAGGATGGAAATCCACATCTCACACGGGTCATCACGCGATCCGGCGTACTTGGCCCTTCCACCAAGAACGGGCAGGTAGTCATCCACAATTATATTCTTCCACCAGCCATGTTTGTTAAGCGTCACCCGGTATGCTCCAAGCGCCCGCTCCTCCGGTGTCAGCTCTGGCTTTCGTGGATGATGAAACATGCTTCGCACCATCTCTGGGTACTCAGCGAGGGCGGCAATGGCGCACACCAGCCAGCTGTCTCCCAACTCACCCGAGTCCACCCTCATTGGGCTGATCGTATTGCGGAAGATACGCACCAGTGAAGAGTAGGTGTCGGGAAGATACATATGTGGGCGGGCCCAAATTGCGGTTTTCATGGGTCGGTTGGATCCACGTGTAATAGAGTCCTGATTGGGCGGAAAGTGAATGTCAATAAACGGTGACGTCTGTCGAACGCACTCCGCGAGAATTGCATCGTCGGTGGGAAATCCCTCCAAAAGTTCCCGCAACCCTTTCATCTCCAATTCTACCATCCGCCCATACATGCGCACCCGCCCCTGCAGGTATTCTTCTGATAACGGAAGAGCCTTGATTTTGCTCTTAAAGCTGATAATAGACCCTTTCACATACATAACCGTCTCTGTGGGATACACGACGGCCACGGCAACGTAGCCCGCGCCTTTCTTCACCTGCTTCACCTTCGTGCTTCCCAGTGCGCGGATCAGAGAGGACCGGCTAAACGCAAACTCCACGTGCATCTCGTAGTTACGTGTGTCGTTGTAGAACGCCCATACATCGTCCTTCACAATACGGTAGAGAAGTCCATTATCAAAGCAGGGCGTGATATCCTCACTGACAAACGTCGGTGCACCACACTTAAACTTTTTCTCAAACTCGGTCTTCTCGGGCAGTGGCTTCATCGTCCGCTCCTCAAACTCGTCCACCGTCTTGTCCCTCTTCTTTTCCTTCTTATCGAAGACATTGTAGTTATAATATTCCACCCTTTGCGGTTTCTGCGTCGTCGACACCCCACAGCCCATAGCTGCCTGTATGCGTCAGCCACTCTCGTCAGGATTTGTAAAGGATACAGATGCAAACAAAAACAAAAAAAATAATAGTAATAATACGAACTTGCTTTAATAACGCCCCAAACGCCCCCGCTTTGTTGTGTTTCTCTTTCCCGATCACTCCTTCCTTTCCTTTGTCAGTAGACAGAAAGAAGAACAGAGACTATGCCTTTCTTCTTCAAATTGACCTTCGTTGCCTCGGTGTTGGCGGCGCTCTTGAGCAGCAGAGACATGCAAAAGACGCGTAAAAAAACAGCGGTGAAAAGCAAACACACACATACACACAGTGACAGGGAGAGAAAGCCATGCAGATGCGGCAGCAGTAGCACCAACCACAACCACCCACCACGCTTCCCCGGCGACACTTGCAATAACGGTTGCCGCCACCCGGAAACAGAACCCAACAAACACACACACACACACACACACACACACCGCCATGCTAAAAACAAAAGGTTCCACAGGTGTTGGCAAACCCGCCACTACGCTCAGTGCATGCCTTCAGCATCGATACCCACATCTCACATGAGTTGCTTCTTTTCTGCACAAATCGTGGTCCACTACCAGAAACCGGCAAATAGTTATCCACCAGGTACAACCTCCACATACCATCCCTGTTCAAAAGGGCTCGGTAGGTTCCTCTATTCCCGTTTCATTTGCGGTCCTGCTGCAGTCCACTGGGTAGAAAAACATATGTTAAGTATGTTCCGGCCTCTCATCCAGGGCAGTGATAACCCATGAAAATCACTAAGGTCTCCGCGATGCATGGAGAAGACTGTAATGGGCATTCGAAACAACACCACGTGTCGCACAAGCTTTCTTGAAAGGTACTCAGATAAACGACACTATGGAAGCGGGGACAACAACCGCTTCCCCTTGTCCAGCAAACCCGACGTGGGTGGAAATTCGAGGTCAACAAAATGCACATTGTGCGAGATGTACGCCTCCAAAAACCACCTGCGCGTCATCGGAAGGGAACAGTCGCCTCACTGCCACAACATGGACTTTTTAAGACATCCTCGGTGGCTTGAACAATCCTCTCCAAATACACGAGAGATAGAGGCCGCCTCTCAGCATGGCTCCGGTAGCCATCCCACGTTCCGCAAATGAACATGACGGTTTCAAGTGGATAAATCATCGCCATCTCCACAAGTTCCTCGTTTTCATTACGCGTGATTTATGTATTCCCTTGAGCCTCCATTTGCTAATTCCGTCCAAAAAACAAATACAGAATATGCATCTCAAAGATATTCGTGTCATTGTAAAAGACCCATGTTTTCTCCTGATTTATAATACAGAACAAGTAGCTGCCTTTAAAGCACAAAGTTTATTGCCCATCGTAGGTGGGGCCACATTCTCGCTAAGGCTTGCCCTTTTGTTCATCTAAAGAAAGGGGCTCCACCAAAGCTTCGCCAAACTCGTCAACATTCACCGTCTCTCCATCCCAGCCCAGCCCAGACTGGACAAGCATTGTGCCCATTCCATGGGCGTTACTCCTGATGGCGCCTGCATGCTGCCGCTTCATCTCTTGTTGTTTTTTACCCGCCTAATTCATTCTTATCTCCTTGACGCAGGCAGCGTAAGAGGCACCACGCACCCCCCCCCCACCCCCTCCCGTGACGCCCTACAAAAGTTCCCCTCTCAATCATCTTTTTTTTTTCTTTGGTGCCTGGGGCAAAGGAGGAGAAAGCGGGAAGGAACTAGAAAAGAAGACCGCCTTTTTCCTCCGTTTTTTATTTGTTTAAAGAAGGGGGGAATGTGTTGTGTTGGTAGCCCCGTGCTTAATGGCACTGCGACATCCCCCGCTGCCCGGCTGTGTTGCCCGCTTCACACGAAGGACACTACTCAACCTGAAAGACGGTGCCTGCATAGATGCCGGGGAAAAACCTTTCAGGATCTAGCGCCTGAAACTCCGTCTGGCACGGCATCGTCAAGAAGTCAAGGTTCCTCTTGTTATCAAAGACACCACATCCAGAGAGAGCACGCAGAACTGCGCACGCACCTAGCTGTTGGGCGTACCCACCTCAGCCAGACTGCACAACCCCAAGACGTACAATCGTGTGGAGTATGTGCTCATGGAGCATTGCATCACAAGGTAGAGAGAACTTTCGGATACAAATTCGTAGAACATGCTGCTCTCATGGATCTGGAAGAAGATGTACTCCGGGGAAGGGCGGTCCGTGTCAAACCCACTGTTGAGGTCCACACGCATCGGAGTTATGGCACCGCAGCCGTGTGCAACAGTTATCATAATTGAAATGTGCTCACTCTTATCGGTGCCACGCATGTCATCCTGCGAGAGCACAAGGCACAGAATGACGGAGGTACTCACGGAAATCCCTAAACATGTGGTGAAAACATTTTGCATGAAGCATGCCACAAATACGGAAGTCGTACGTTAGGTGTTGAATAAAGCCTACGCCACACCCCATGAAGTAGTCCACCGGCCTCAGCCCATTCAAGGTAAAAAGTGGAATCATCCGTATCTGTCTAGTCACGGGCAGCTCTCACTTCCGTGTACTCATCTCATTTTCTGTCACCTTTCTTCCAAGGTCAACCCCAGGCAAGGCCATCCTCGTTAAGCCATGGGTTATGGAACTGCAATAAGTGAAGATTATGTTCTGGAAAGTAGACTATCTTCAGGACTGCTTACACGCGCCCAACGCATAGACCTGTAGCTGTGTAAGCGGCTTCATTCATCTCATTTACGGCACCATTTTTCAATGCCTCTCATGTAGAAGCCATAAATATGACCTGATATCCAAGCTGGCTGCACCGGTAAAAGTGTTCAAACAATTCTTCCCCTCCTACTCGTCCTTGCCTCAGCCAGAGCATTGTTAAACGACGAGCATGGATGGCCTGATATGTCTTGGAAGGCATGCAGTGGGTCACCTGCAACGATAAAACCGTAACCGTCGTGTATCTTTGTATATGCCTTTTACAGCATTAAAACCCACTACTCCTTTGGGTCGTGCTTGAAGCGCGCAAACTTTGAGCGAATACCTGAGCAGGATAAGCAGTTATCAATAATAACATTTATCTACCAATCATTTTTTGTTGAGGGTGGCATGATGGATGCCAAGCTTGTGTTCCTTTTTGACGACTTCAATGCTAATGGGGTCTCCAAATATATTACGTACCCCCGTCCGGAAATTCTGCAAGAGTGTCCAGGGTGCTAATAAGCCATGAATCGCCCAAGCCACCCCCATCAATGTTGTTTGGGTGAACGCCACCGCGGAACAAGCAAACCTGTTTGGCGCTATCGTAGGATAAGTACATGCATGGACGCTCCAGCGGTATTATCTTTATCATGGAACTCATTTGAAGTGACCGCTGTTCTGGTAAAAAAGGAAAAATCCACAAACTCCGCCTTGTTGGCGAGACATGCCTTCACGGTCTCATCAGAATAGGCATTTTTGCAAACCAATCGGTATAGGTCCCAAGCTTACTTATCAATTATCTCCTTGTCCTCCACAGTCAGGTCCTCCAGGTATTTGTCTATGATTCCTTCTGCCTTAATGTTGCTCGTGTATCCATTAGGATGGCCCTCTATAAAAAGTTTTGTTTCAAGTGGGTGCACAGACACCGAATAAACTCAAGAAGCATCAGATATATTTTCAAGCGTCGTATTTCACGGCGCATTAATGTCAAATGCCCGGTTTGAAGTTCACTTTCACCCGCATTATGCAATTTAGGGTATCGTTGTATAAATATCAGCGCCCACCACGCCGTTCCTAGGCAACGCGGTACAAAAGACCCTCATCAAAGCACACGGTTGAGGTGCCCTCATACACAGGGCGTCCATACCGACACTCCGAGAAGGTGTTACAGTCAGCAACCGTTCCCTCTCCGAAATCATCGGATGTGGCAAAGAAAGCATATACGCTTATTTTTTCGTTCCTTGGCCCGTATGCCGGCATCTCGTCTGGTAGAAGAATTTTAAAACAGTAAAAAAAGTATAGTTTCTTGCCTCTTTCAGAGGCTTCAGTTTATTTTTGGTGAGTGCTCATTTTTTACCTCCCCTTCCCTGTGCTTGCTAAGTGTTCAATAGTAAAGATGCAAAATAACCCCTATTTAAGGCTTGCATGAGGGTGATATCCACTTTTTCCGCCACTTGCCAGCACCTGCGGCTTCCCCTTTGACTTCGCTAGATACTTCCCCATAACATCTTTGTCGATCCGAGACAAGACACCAAAAAAAAAAAAACATATATATATACAGAAGATGTGGGTGAGAACAAAGCAGGGGGTGCTGTGCCACACGATGCGGTGCGGGGGGAGAAGGTAATATGTACTTCCCGTACAAAAAAAAAAAAAAAAAATAACATTGTCTGTGGTTCCCAGCTTCCCTTCTGCTCTCAACTCATGCCGGCAGGGATTCCTGCTCCCGCCTCTGTTCAGCCTCCTCCAAAATCATCCAAGTGCCCGTAAAGAGGGGAAAAATAAGTAATAATAATAATGAGGAACAATGAGTCACTCTCTCTTTCCCACTTCCTCCTCTAGGTTGCTTCTTGGAAGCAGAGAAAATTTTGCCGCGTGCAGCAAGGCTGGAGGAGACGGCCAGTAATGGGAGGGCGGTGATCACCCCCAGAGTGCCTAGAGACAAGCAAAGAAAACGCACTGGGGAAGTGGAGAAAGAAAGAGAGACAACGAGGGAGGGAAAAAAACGCTTGATGCTTTACCAAATTGCAAAGAAACAAAAAGAAAAAACAAAACAAAGAAATAGAATATTGAAAACAAAACACTTTGGCAGGACAATTATTTTTCCTTTCTCATTGCACCCCCACCCCCATCATCCTTCTACAATGACCTTCGAAGACTATTACCCAATCCCATTCCTTTCACATGTGGATAACGCCTCTGCATCCACCCCGGTTCAACGCGAAGTTTGCAGTTACCCGGAACTGTGGCGCAAACAAACTGACATGCCCAACTCGCCCCAACTACATCGTCCTCACCCTTGTGGCTCGTTTGTTTTATGACTCGTTCTTCACGGTGCCCTTCTATCCGCCCTTTTTTTCTGAGTAGTGCGTGCTTGCGCCTGCTTTCTTGCAAAAAAAAATTTCCACCTTCTCCATTCTTCCCTTCTCGCATTGCTCTTCTCTTGGATGTGAGTGTATTTCTATTTGGTCATTCCTCATGCATCGCCCCATTGTTTCCCGTTTTTGGCGGCTCGCACTTGGCCAGGTGGTTCATAGCACACACACAACACGCAGAATAAATGCGGTGGGAATAAAGTCAAGTTGTAAGCAACACGACACAAATCAAAAAAAAAAGGTATAGTGTGACGAGATCAGGTGTCAGGGAGAAAACGACATAGTTGTGCGTCGCAGGGGTTTCACTTGCCACTACTTTGCCCCTTGATCTTTCACCCTTGTTTCTTTGCCTGTCCTCCTCTTTTGTACTTGGAAGGGGAAAAAAGAGGAAATTGCTTTACCTTCCCCTGTACCGCCCATTCCTGTTTCAGATAAAAAAACATGTCTTTACCCACCTTTTACATCAGGAGCTCCAGAAACGTAGAGAGATCTTATGCTGCTTCTTTTTTAACTTTTGTTTGTGACCTCAGTTTGTAAATATCGCTCTTATCGGCTTCGTTGGTTGTTGTGGAACCACTTGCCTGTATCCTTTTCTCGCTGTCAACTTTTTCCTTCGTTTTTCGTTGTAGTTAAAGAGCACACAACCCCGCTTCGCCTTAGCATTGTTGTTGTTGTTGTTGTTTTGCTCGTGTTTTCTCCCTCATTTGCATGCATGGGCAATCTCTAGGCGTGGTTTATCCGTGGCTCCATTCCTGATCCTGATTCCTCACCGCCGCTGTGCTTTCTCCTCCCTCTCCTTGCGGTTGGATTGTATCCTCCAATGCCTTTCATTCTGCTTCACAAAAAGGAAAAAGTTTAGTATACCGCTTCACCCTGCTTCAGCTCTGCGTATCCCTTGTGGGGTGGTTTGACCTGGTACTCCGCCATGACAGGCTCCACCTCAGGTTCAAACTTGGGGAAGTTGTGCATCACCTTGTTGTCCTTGTCAATGGTTTTGAATTGGACGGTGACGCCGTCGTGTCCAACAACCTTGTTGCATGAAAATCCTATGACATAGGGTACCTCCCCCTCCTGACCATCCACCTGCATGAGTCGAGGAATTACGAGGTATGGCGAGTGCTCAGGAAGGAACCTGTGCAACAAGCTGATGTCGCGGGCCTGAAAGAAAATCCACTTGTCGCGAAGGGGGTGGGAGGCGTCGTTGGAGCTGTTTTCCACGACCTTGTAGAGGTCGTTTTCCAGCGGTTGCGCAACGCTCAACATCACAGGTTGGTACTCATTGAAACCTTGGCGTCCACGCCTGTCTCGCTGCGATATTGTAAAACACATCCAAGTGGGCTGTTCAACGTTAACCTCAAACACGCACGATGGTGTACCCGCCACAAACTTCGAGGGCACACGGTAATCATTGAGAAGCGGATGGGAGAAGCAGACACCGCCCCCGTTGAAGTAACAGAGGCAAGCTCTCCACGACATCCAGAAGGTGCTACGTTCATCCTTTTCAAATCTGCAAGCTTGAGCCACTTCTGGATATTGCTCCCATTTATTATCGTCGCTGCACCAGTCACCATTCCACTCCGCGTTTCGTCCCCATGCATTGCGTAGCTTCACCAAACGCAGCTTGCGCTCAGCAAAGTATTGCGCTTCCAAAACTCGGTACACATGTCCACTTTGTAGTCCCACGCCAAGGTAGCGTTTAGCCAACTTGAGATCATTCGAATTTTCATCGTTTGTAACTTTGCCAGGAGTGCTCAGCAACATTTGATGGTGAGCCTTGGTGTATTTTACCCAGTCCTGGAAAAAATCATCCTTGCTAGAGCAAGAAGCGGCAGCAAAGGCACTATCAAATCTACAGCACGGAAAGCCTGTCAAGTCCTGAAGTGCATGAAGCGGATCACCTGAGCAAATGCTGGCGTAACTGCCATGCATTTTGGCAAATGCCTTTTGCAAGATAGAAGGCCATAGCTCGGCAAGATCACGATTGCTTTTTGCATACTTTGGTTTGCCACCGGAAATTGGAAGGTAATCGTCGACAATAACGCTGCGCCAGAGGCCGTTCTTGTTGAATGTCACACGATAGGCGCCAATCGCACGCTCTTTTTTACCCGCTTCAGCACCCGCAGGGTGTCGAAACATTTTAAGAATATCCTCAGGGTTCTCTGAGACGGCAGCAACAGAGCACATCAGCCAAACATCTCCCAGTTCCCCCTGATCAAACTCACCAGGACGAATAGGGCCTCTGAAAAGACGAACCTGATCAACCAAGTTGTCAGGGAGATACGATGAAGGTCGCGCCCACGGAAGCTGCTTAAAAGGCTTCTTCGCCCCAGTATCCAAGGAATCCTGGCATGGCGGAAACTCCAAATCCACAAAAGGAAGATTGTGCTCCAAACACAACTTCAAAACCTTCTCTGCGTCCTTCTCATCCCCAACAAGTTCCTTAATTTGAGCCATTTCCTGGTGAATGGTTTCTTCAGCCAGTTCCTGACGGCGCTTACAGTAATCGTCAGATAAGGGAACTGCACGGAGTTTGCTCGTGAAACCATTCACCTTACCCTTGACAAACATTTCCGTTTCTCCAGGGTAGACATAGACCTCAGCTAAATGCTCACCATCGGGTTTGGTATACATTTTGGTGTTTTCAAGAGGCTCTAACATGGAATGTTTGCCGAAGGTAAATTGCACATGCATTTCATAATGGAGGGTGTCATTGTAAAAGGCCCAGGTCTTTTCTTTACGGTTGAAAATGCGGTACAGCAGATTAGGTTCATCAAAACAGGAGAGTAATTCACCTTGGTAATCTGGTTCGCCATTTTTGAACTGGAGCACTTGTGAATTTTCTTCGTCATAAACAGGACGTAATATCGTTCTCATTTCAAACTCATCGTCGCTGTCTTCACGTAAATCGTATTCAATAGGATCCCAACGAATTGGTTGTGTTAACGGTGTTTTCCTCGGCTTGACAAAGTGATGAACCTCCTGTGTGTGAGGCAGCAATCCACCTTTATTGTTCTTCTTGTGGTTATCCTGCTCCGCATGCCCCGCTGGCAACTCCTGCTGCTGCTCTTCCTCTTCCACGTGAAGCTGAACCGGATGAACTTCGTGCTGTTCCTCGGTGGTATGTTTCACCTCTTCATGGTGAAGTTCGGCTGCATCGTGCTTCTGTTCACGACTTTCACCCTCATGGGTGACCTCTTCTTCTTCTTGCGACTGTTTTTTCTTATGATCTTCCAAATGGTTAACGGCCTCGTCCTCTTCCACTGGGTATTCATGAGCCGCTTGGGACTCTAATTTTACATTCTGGACTTCGCCACCGTTGTGGTGGCCCTGCTCATGTTCATGATGCTCGTCATGTTCATGGTCATGGTCATGGTCATGATGCTCATCATGTTCATAGTGTTCTTCATGATGCTCGTCATGTTCATGGTCATGGTCATGGTCATGATGCTCATCATGTTCATAGTGTTCTTCATTATGCTCGCCATGTTCATGCTCATGATGCTCATCAAGTTCATAGTGTTCTTCATGATGTTCGCCATGGTCATGTTCATGATGCTCGCCATGTTCATGCTCATGATGCTCATCAAGTTCATAGTGTTCTTCATTATGCTCGTCATG